GGGTTTAGGGTACAGGGTTTCGGGTTTAAGATCCAGGGTTTAGGGTTTAGGGTTTAGGGTCAGGGTATAGGGTCTGAGTCTGGGGTTTAGGGTTTAGGGTTTGAGGTTTAGAAGCTTATCTCGAGGCACACACTCTATTCATTTTCTAGGGTACTTTACAAAAAGCAGAGCCTAGCTAAAGAAACAGGTGCCCTAGAAAAGGGGTAGGTTAGGGTAGGGCTTGGGTTGCCCACAGGCTTTCTAAATTACTCAGCTGCCATTTGTGTTTTAGCCGTTTGGGGTTTAGGGTTTAGGGTTGAGTGTGTTGTAAGTGCAGGGTGAAACATGTTTACGGCGCGGGAACTCAAGAACTAGGTTCAAACATCCCTAAATATCAAGAATCTCCAAACCTAATCGCCAAACCCTTATAAACCTTAAACCCTAAAGCTCTAAACCCGAAGCCCCAAATATCAAGAATCTCCTCATCGCGACTACCGAGAAGAGAGCCCCGGAGATTTTGAAGAACTCCCCATGTGGAAAAATATTACTTAAACCCAGCAACCCAACTAATGTACGGTTTAGGGTTTAGGTTTATGTAGATGCACAAGCCTATTTTCCGACAGCACCTTACTATGATTTCATTCAATAAACCCCCATCAAGGTAGGTTTTGGGGGCTATGGGTACATCCTGAACTTCATGCTGAGGTTCTGCAGGCTTGTTACTGAGGGCCCCTACCCCGAAGCTGTGGCTTCCGCGCTCTGGGATATAACGGTGTAGGGGCTCACAAGACGGGTTTAGAGGCTCAGGGCATCCTTCAGAGGTTCTTGTGGTTTTAATTTCGGCCTTGGGCTTTTACGTGATTTTTGGGCAGTCTGCTTCGGGCCAGGAGCTGTTTGAAGCTTAAAACCCCAAAGTCTAAAAGCCCCGCTACCGTAGAATCTCATTACTGATCCTACGCCCCTCAGCAAGAAACCCTAATCTCTTCCAGATGCTCCTTTCAACTGCTTTAGGCTCCATGTTGAGTTGTCTCGACACACACTCTGAGTCCGATGTCTCTTTCGCGACTTTTGTCCTTCTGTTGAGAGTATAAAGTTCCGATGAGGGCAGACAGGCATGGTGCCGCAAATCATACTATTATCTTAACCCAAGGCCCGAAGCCCGAAGCCCCCAAACCTTGGCCTCAGCCCATCCCAAGACCCAAAACCCTATACACCCTAAACCCACGAAAGCTTCAAACTCGCCGACCAGCACCCCCAACTACCCTCTACTCTACCCTAAATACCCACTATTAAGGACCGTAAGGGTTCTATTAAAGGGTACCTGGGGGGCTGCTGCAAGGCAGAAGATGTCAAGTATTACAAGACAGTGGGTCCTGGACCAGAGCTCTTCGCAGTGAGTGGCCAACAGGTGGCGGCAGTGAAGTGCCTATAGTCTCCATTGTAGTTCCTTTTTTTGGTTAACCAAATTTACATTATAGGATCCTAACCATAAAACTGGTCAACCCAAAAAAGGAACTACAATGGAGACTATAGGTGGGATCGAGGGTCGTCGGTTTTTACTGGAGCCCTAATGGCCCTTCATAGTGGGTATTCTGGGTTTTTTAGAGGGTCATCGGTTTGGGATCCAGGGGTTTAGGGTGTAAGCGTTTAGGGTGTTGGGTTTAGGATCTAGAATCTAGGGTGTGCTCTTCAGGGCTTGGGCTGTATGGTCTAGAGTCTAGGGTTTTGGTCGTCTTGGGTTATGAGAAGTTAGGGCACTTCGTCGGTTTAGGGTATTGGGTTTGCTCTTCAGGGCCTTCGGTCGTGGGTTTCTGGTGCGTTGGGGTATAAGGCTTGGTCTCGATAGTTTCAATGGCCATTACACGAACTCGAGACCGCCTCAGCCCCTTTAGACTAGAAAGCTTGAACTTCAAAAGCCCCAAACTCTAAACCCTCAAACCCTACACCGTAAGCCCTTCAAAACTTAGTTCTACAATACCCAACCTTTAAACTTTTTGGGTTCTTATAACTTAGTAGTAATCTGAAAGTTTAACCTTTTATTTCCCTGGCTTATTGAAAATACAACCCTAAACCTCAAGCCTTCAACCCTAAAGCATCCCTGCGTTCCCTACCCTAAACCCTAAAGCCAAGACCCTAAACCCTAAACCCTAAACCCTAAACCCTAAACCTAAACCCTAAACCCTAAACCCTAAACCTATAGAGTCCCATACCCGGAGAGCCGCAGGATGAAGCGGCATAGGTGGCTAAACAGACGGCGCCAGGTCTACTACGAAGACAAGAAGAAGTGGGTTCCCTACAACAGCTCAGTGTTACAGGAGTGGTCTGAGATACAGCATGTCGAGATCAAGTTCGAGGAGAACTGGAAAGAGGAATTGAAGCGGGTCTGTGTTCAGAGCGTCTACTGCAGAGTCTGCGATAGACGTGGACGAACCCTGACGATGGAGGTCGTCGGAGTGCTCCAGGATGTTCCTGCGCCTGAGATAGCAAGTAGGAGAACTTTGAATTTGTTGGCCTTGTATACTTGGTCTATCTTACTTGGAGGGTCGGGGGACTTAGTAAGTAGGCAGCAAGTAGACTTATAGGTACCCTAAAAGGGATCCTGATTGGGGATATGATACTTATAAGTCTATAAAATAGCTACTTACTAAGTCCCCGCACCCTCCAGTAGAGAGCTTGAACTCTTCTGAGCCGGATGGAAGAAGAGAGGTGCAGACCGACTTTCCATTGCAGGTTATCTTTCTCGCCGCTTGCTTGCATGAGCAGGGTTGCCTGAGCTTTTCGAGACCCGTTCGCATTCGGGTTTAGAGTTTAGGGTTTAGGGCTTAGGGTTTAGGGTTTAGGGTTTAGGGTTTAGGGTTTAGGGTTTAGGGTTTAGGGTTTAGGGTTTAGGGTTTGGTGTGTTCCCGGTGTCCTGTCAAAAGCAACCTTAGGGAATCGGCCCGAGCCTTCTTTGTGCTGCTGGCGTCTCATGATTAGTATTCCCCCCCCGACCCCCCTGCAACGCTGTTTCCTTGGAAACCTGGTGGGCGGTTTAAGCGCAAAGCTTCCCCTTCTGGCTTTGGCGATGTTCAAAATGCCATCAACAAGCAGTTGCTTGAACTCAGAAACTTTGCTTCAGCAATAAAATAACTTGATATGCACTAGGCCCAGTTCAATTGTAACAGACTGCCGAAACTGTACATGGGTGGTTGTCAAAATTCGGGTCCCTTTTTGGGTCCTTCTTATAATACGGCACCTATTATTATTTAGGGTACCCCAAAAGGGAAACCCTAAACCCTAAACCCTAAACCCTAAACCCCAAAAGGGACCCTAATTTACGAAACCACCCACATACCACTCTTGACGAGAAGATCCTGAACACGGAAAGCGTGGGATCGTATTGGAAGGCCGCGGACCCAAAGCTCCAAAAAGTGGGTTTAGGGTTTAGGGTTTAGGGTTTAGGGTTTAGGGTTTAGGGTTTAGGGCAGCATGACTCGAGTTCCGACACCCAACGCACTAGCATCGTACATGAACATGAGACTCAGGCAGCGAGAAAGACCGTTGTAGTAGTCAATGGGAACGATTTCGTACTGACTACTACTAGCTACCATTAATGCTCTTGTCAACTACTGGGTTTAGCTGTAATGCCTGGTCTCCTTCAACCCAAACATATCCAAATCCCCCGAGGCATCTGCAGAACGTGCTTCTACCAGGAGGGGTGTCCAAAGTACCTGGTGCAAAGTATCCCAAAGCCCCTGTTCACCTTGCTTATGCCGTTGTCCCTGTGTCTTGTTCATTTTGATTTGACCTGCCGCTTCAAGCTACGGTGTGGCTCCTGTCCTTGAAGCCTTCGTTTGTGTATGTTGGCTCGAGCTGTGTGTGTCCCTGTGTTTGTTGTTTGCCTTTTTTTTGTTGTGTGTGTGTGTGTGCGTGCTGCTCCTGCTCCTGCAACTGGCACTGGTAACTAGTAGTGCGCTCGTCGTGGTGGTGTTGGTGGCGTGGCTTTTTCTCCTGCTGCTGCAGATATTATCGGGCTTAATGTTGCTGTGGTTGTTGTGGCCTGTTTTTGTTTCGGTGTTGTCTGCTTGGTGGTTCTCAAAATGTGCGCATCGTCGTATTGCGCACATAAACATCGTGCGTATCACGTGGACCCGTTCAGTAGCTTGGCTTCTTGAGGGCTTTGGTTGCTCGCTCGATCTCTCCGCATCAGTTCGTGTGAGATATCGGTGACATAGATGTTCCTGTAAAGTTGTAAAGCACCAAGACGGTGCAGTGTTTTGGGCTTTTTTGATTCGTTTTACTTTATTGCGTTAAGGTTTTCACAAGTCGATGCCGTACAAGATCAGCAATGCTCTGTAAGGGTTTGACGGTTTCCTACAACAGCCGTGCAGGTGACTGAGAGCCAGAACGAGTCCATGACGCTTGGCACGCCGACAACATGGCACAGATCAGGGTGCTTCTTCCAGTTCACGCCTAACCACCAAACTTTGCTTTATTTAAGCGCTAGGTTCGATGTTGGGGTCCTATACACAAGAAGCTACCACACCGGCGTGCTGTCCTGTGAGGTATTGAGCCCGTTGAAAGAGTTGGGTTAGAAGGTCTGACTACGCTTAGGCCCCACAAACAGGCTGCACAATCCCCAAACTGCCACATTCAATAAACCCTCGAACCTTCAAAGCCTACCTGACATATAACTGAGAGTCTCAGTACATATATATATATATAATATATATATATATATATATATATACGTATGTATGTATATATACATATATATATATACATATATATATATATATACATATATATATATATATGTATGGGTATATGGACCTTCAGATAAATAGTAGGAACCTTACAATACGGGACCTGAGACAGCCACCACAAGGTTCAGACATCCCCACTTTTCTTTCTTGATGCTAAAGCCAAACCAGTCTTGACCCAACTACCGTTTGGGGTTTGCGTATTTTTTGGTTGTTGGTTGCAAATGTTTACTGTTTCCGGTTTTCAGATTCGGGGTTCAGGGTTTGCAGGGTTGGGCTAGCAGTTCTCCAGACTGGGGTTTCTTGCAGGGTTCCTGATTGCAACAGTGATATACTCTTCTGGGGCCTCCAACCGGGGCGTTACATTGGAGAACTATCGAGTAAGATCACAAGATGGCAGCGCAAAGCATCTTATAGGATACTACATTATAACTTGTCATACTATACCATTTCATACGATACTATATAATAGCCTTCATGTATTACAGTAAGCTATATCTTATACCATGTAGACTATTCATTCCTAATTACAGTATAAAAAACTGTTTAGCAGATCACATATATATATATATGTGAATAGGCGCAAAGTATATGTAGAGTGTATATATATACACATACATTATCATACATCATATGAAACATGCCGTACATCACATATCATATATCATATATATATATATGTAATATCTACATACATGGTATATTTCATGTATCATGTGTTATACAGCATACAGTATACAAGGTATGCGATGTGTGTATATGTGTAATAATATGTATTATTTTATATGTGTCATTGTACAGTATATCATACTAGATTATATATACTATACGACACTATACTGTCTATGTATGCGTATATATATATATACATACTATAGATGAAAAGAGAGACAGGGATGTGTATCTCATCGTTTGGGGACGCGTTGATTTTCATAAGTACGACCCCAATCCTGCTCAACTCATGTTGTGTCATCATCTCGACTCAATGGGTTTGCGGGACACGAAGGGCGAATATAGGGGCCTGAATTTTTACCTATACTATTTTTTGGGTTTCTTGTTATATTTGTACTATAAAGGAGCCCTTAAAACCCTATTTCGATTATAAGGCCCTCATTACTGTTAACATTTTATTTTTTAAGGTTTTGCCTACACGAAGGTTCCAGAAAGTGAAGCAATGCAGAAAGGGTGCCAGCTTTGTTTTGTCCGTAGACGCCCCTAAACAATACTAAACCCCCGAAGCCAAAACCTCTAAACGTATAGGAGATCACGGATGGAAATGGGCCCGGGGATTCTCAAGTCTCAACCTCACGCCTGGCGTTGCAAGTGCCTTATATGCCAGAGCAACACGCTTGGCATCGGCAAGGTTTCTCAAGCTCGAGGTTACCTGGTGCCGGAGGTTGACGGATAGGTTAAGTCGATCTATTAGGGACCTTAACAATGACTGTAGAATAGGGTTTCGGTGCATACTATAGTGTACCTATAATATATACGGAGCCCAAATGAACAGTATCGGCATAGTATTGATGATTGTTCACCCTACAGCCTGTCAACCCTAAACCCAGGCACTCGCCGTGGCTTTAAGGCCACTTCATGGTAAATGAAGGCAGTAGGTATAGTTTAGTTTCCACGGCTTGGAGTTTCAAGGTTTGGGGTTAGGATTTTAGGGCCTGCAGATCAGTATCTAGACGAGGATACGGCTTAAGATGTTTTTAGTTGCATACATGGTGTTCGCACCCTTTAGGGGTGAAGGAGAAACCTATTGCCGCCTGTCCGCCCAAGCCGTTCCACTTGACACCGACGGTGTTGACTGCCTAGGGGCTGGACACACAACAGAACTCTGCTCTGCAAAGCGCGGGGCATGAGCAAAATTCGAGTCGAGTCGACCATCTTTCAGGACTGGGCCCTGCTGTCACTTCAGGGCAGAAAGTGTGCTAACGGTGATTTTTCATGCTTGTGAGGTATATTCATCGTTTATGGTTTATAAGTAAGGTTTGGCCCGTATTGTCAACAGTTTAAATCTACAACTTATTCTTGAGGTTCTGACCAGGTATCGTGGTTCCCACACCCCCGTTCAGTCATTAGGGTTGGAATTTCTGATATTGGGGCTGCTGGGATTAGAGTCTGCTGTCGTGGGTCTGCCTTGGCTAGTTTGACGCACACGCCCTCGGAGAAACTACCTGTGATCGGGATGATCATCCCCGGTGCTGTGGCATGTTTAATTACAGTTTCAATTCTGCCCGTGTGTGAAACTCGGTTTACCGGATGAACGCGTGGAAGCTTGTGCCACTGAAGACTTGCGACCATCTTCCAAGCACGCCTAATAGCCAGATTGTTCGCAGGTTTCAAAGATACTTGACAGTTAGATTTTCCAGGCAAAGCCGTGTTGTGTTTCAGCTCTCCAACGCAATGTGTTAAGTCCTCAACGTGTTGAATCGTTGACGTGTTGAATCGGTATCTGTGCCTGGTGTCAGTTTCTTTCTCACAGTGTGGCGCTTGCCATCGTGTCGATGCTGATTGCAGTGTGATTCCGACGGTGCCTCCGTGTGGAAGACACGACTTCTAGAGCTTGGTGGTTCTGGCTCGGCATTAGGCTGTCACTGTTAGGGTTTAGGGCATTGTGTTTGGGATCTAGGGTGTCGACTTTGAAAGCACGCGTCATCCGAGACTCCTGCACGCCGGCGCGCTCAGTGCAGACCATGTGCGCCTTGCATAGACGGTGCCGTGCTTTCCCCGAGATCGTGAAACTCAAACCTAAACCCTAAAGCCTACACCCTAAATGTCTAGGCCGCTAAGATCTGACCCTAAACCCTAAACCCTAAACCCTAAACCCTAAACCCCCAAACCCTAAAACCCTAAGACAATAAATCAAATCTTGAACCCAAACGCCCTACCCACCATCCCGAAAGCTCCAGGATGCTCCTCTATAGTATATAATCAGGTTTAGGGTTTAGGGTTTAGGGTTTAGGGTTTAGAGTTTAGAGTTGAACGCCTTTAAGGCCTAGGTACATACTAACTATGTAATCACATGGAGCCTGAGGGTTTCAGTTCGAAGCCCTGCGTAAGCCCTCAACCCTAAAGCCATCAAGAAATCCTCAAAAGCCTGCAACCGACAGAACACCAGATCTTTATCACACCCAGCTCCAAAACCCTACCTCAACCCCAAATAACCTATCTATTTTAAGGACATACATGCAAGTTAAGGAAATCATGTTAAAGGACTCTAGAAAGGTAGGTTTCTCAGGGATCAGGTAGACCCTAAAGCATTTGAGTTCAGACCCTTAGTCTCTCAGGTAGGCTTTGGAGTTGAGGTCTAGGGTTTGGGGTCTGGGGTTTAGGGTTTGGGGTTTAGGGTTTGGTTTGGGGTTTTAGGGTTCTAGGGTTTAGGGTTCAAAAGGGTGTAGTTTTGGGGTTTAGGGTCCTGTTCAAAACTGCACAATCCCGGAGACCCGAACACTCCACAACCCATCGCTTAAGCAATGTGCTTGAAATAATCCGAATCATATCGGGTTTGGGGTCTAGGGCAATGTAGCATGAAGGATCCCTCTGCAATGAAGGTCTGGTGCTTAAGGACGAAGGAGTTTCGGTGTTTCTGGTAACCCGGAAACCCAAAAAACACAAGCCTCTAGAGCCATCAACGCTAAAAGGACCTTGTCCCTATCGTTGTGGGGCCCTTACGGTTGATGATATAAATCCTGCATTACCCATTCCCATAGCTTAGGGTCCTTAAAGGTAAGCAGGATTTCGATCATCAACAGTATGGAACCTCGACAGGGCTAGAACCCTTATAGAGGGCCTTGTCGATGGAACCCAGCTCCTAAATTCGCCTTAATGTAGGCGCCTTCATAATCAGAGTAGGGTTTGGGGGGGTATATTATACTACAATCATGGAACAAGTCTAGGTAATTATTAAGGCCCATACATTATATAAATCCTAAGTCCCAAGCCAAATCCGAAGGAGTGTTGGAGTGGCTGTGAACCCTAGCTCCACCCAAAATCCGAAATCCTGACTCCCAACCCCCAAACCCTAAGGAGTGCTGGACCCTAGAGTGGGAACCTGACTAAGAAACCGCGGCCCTATAAACGCCGAACTCTTAGATTTCAGATCAGGAGCCCCATATAAAGACCCAGGGTTTCTATACACCTAAACCTCTATACCCTCGCAGTACCCTTACAGAGCCCTTTCAAAGGAACCCTTATAACCCCTCTAAAGGCACCCAGAAGGTTCATACTAGCCCACCATCTGGAATCTCGTGGCCTGAGCACTGGCACCATGCCTAGATTGCCTGGTCCAACTGTCGCCTCTCCTTGTACCTGGAGGATCTTGAGACTTAGTAAGTGGGGTTATAAGTACCTTCATTCGGGTTATAAGTAACAATAAGTATAGTTACCTTACTTATAACCTCAGTTACTAAGTCCCATGATCCTTTAAGTAAGGTTTTGAAAGGTTCCATAACGATAAGGGTTCTACTACAAGTGCTCTCTAATTCAATGACTATAGGGCTCCATAACTTTATGGCTTCTATAATTCTATAAGGCCCCTTCGATCTACGACTTTACGGGTTCCAAAATTATGGGGATCCCGTGCGGGGTCAGGGTTTTGGGTGCTGGGTGGGAATTTAGGGTTCCATGGTT